AAAATAAAATAAAATAAAATAAATAAATAAATAAAGAGATCGTGAAAATGCCCGGTTGAACAATAGGGCATTCAGCCAAGATTTAAAAACAGCGTGTCAGAGAGTCTTTGAGTGGGGAATGTGGATGTTTATTCTAAGTAGTAGAATCATGTGCATAAGTTGTACATTTGCAGAATAACAATGCTTTCTGTCCAGAAAGGCGCATTCACAAAGCTGGCAGCTCGATGATTCAGTTGCACCGGTACCGCACAGCTCCTTCTTCAAGTTTTGCTCAGAGATCCAGGATGGTCAGTCTGGATTAATCTAAACACTAATAAACCATCATCAGCAGAAGATAAATGTGATCTCTGTACAAAAGCTCCCTCTGAATCCTTCCATTGGCGATGTTGTCCATCAGAGCCAAAACGCTCCACAATGCAGCACATTTTTGCGCAGCTACGTACATACGGGATTGTCTACACACCTTAATCACCTTAAAAATAATCAGACCTGTTTGGAGTTAATCTGCTGATCCAACCCTGTTTTTTTTTTTTTGTGAGAATGAAATTACCCCATAGATACATTTCATGCCCTTCAGCGCACAGACCGACGCATTACATCTTTATGAGACAAAAACTAAGGAAAAGTCCTATTTACATTCGAGTGAGGTTTTCACATCCTTTTATTTTTATTTTCTTTATTTTGTATTTGTGTTACTTTATTGTCTGGGGATGAATGTGGTTCAGTTTCATTGTTTACTTTTAAGCAATAAAAAAATAAAATCATGAAAAAAACATTGGGTTTGATGCTTGGTCTAAAAAACACTGAATGTCGTCAGATTTCAGTGTATTTCAGTGAGTTTTGACGCTTTGCAGTTTGATATTCACAGAAAAAGTTTGCGTGGCTGCCACACATTTACACAACAACGAAAAAGTGTGCGTATATACAGTATACGCACACTTTGACGAAGAGTTAATTTTTATACATGCCAACTTGTGCGTAAAATATGGCACCGCACATTTTTTGTGTGCATGCACGCTTTATGCATGAGGCCCCAGACCTTTTGGGGTTAAGATTATTTTGGTTTGCTTGATGCTAACCAGAGACATGTACCAAACACAGTGCAGTCATCATTCGTGATCATTACTAAAGAATAATGGTTCTCTTTTTGTTTGCAGTCCCTTCCTCCCCGGTCAATCATCAGAAGATCACATATCTCCTTCAGTCACCGGCAGTCAAGTTCATCTCACACCCTGAATTTTTCACTGTGTTGCACAGCAACTATGTGAGTGCTTCTTACAAGAGCACACACACATGCACACAGCTTTTTGTGGAAATGAAATGAACACCATCTTTGAACTCATCAACAGAGATGTTCAGCCGTAATTCACAACATCATGTTTGGAGAAAACTTAAAACAAAAGCCAAAGCACCTTAGGAGTAGCTAAAGCTGAACTTAGCAGATAAAAATATTCCATCAGTAACTTCACACTTTTTTGTCTTTGGATTAGTTTTCTTTAAATAACTTTTATCTTGAGGTAATTTTGCTCCACAAGCAGAAGATGATCATTAAGACCAGATTAGTAATAATAATACTTTATTGATCCCCTAAAGGGGGGACATTTAGCATAGTTCTCTAACAGTGGTGTATCTGGCCATTTGAAACATTCAGTTGAATAAAGTTTGATATCTGTGTTTTGGTTATCCTCCGTTTAGAATTCCTTAAGTAGGCATTTATATTTATGCTCTTTTTTGAAGTCCGTTTCCTCTCCTCGTGTTTTTTTTTTTATTTTTATAAATCTTAATGAGTAAGTGGCAAGTATGCAAGAAACAATTGAGTTGTGCAGTTATTGTTTGACATTTGACATTAACATTAGCACAAACATTAGCATTTCACTGCCCCCCACTTGCTATGCAAGGCAGTCCATTAGCATTACTCGTTTTCCTAAAGTTAGCTATTAGCTAGTTTTCTTATTAATTAGACATGTTTAGTATATTGAGTGGAGCAAGTGAAATGCCACATGCTAAATGTGTGCATTTAGGCTCACATTAGCATTTTGGCTAATTTTAGCTTATACACTAATTTTAACATACAGAATGGGATAAATCCATGCTACTCCATGAGACTCTCCACATGCTGTTGAGTACATTGCAGCTTTCTTTACCATTGATGCTAATTTTTAGTGTCAGAGTGCTGGGTCCAAACCGACGGGCATACTTCTTCAGGAATTTTCTAGTTTGTTCTTATAATTCTGCATATTTCACCATGTCAATATTTGTGTGAATATATAAAGCCTGTTGCTGTTAAGCATTTTTGTTTATGCGTCTATCACGTCTCGTGTCAACTTTATGTTCACTTTTATCATGTTGATGTCAACTTTGAAACAATATATGAACTCATATAATAACCCTTGTTCTCAACCTCATCAGCCCGGTGTCACCTGAAAACCAGTTTGATGTGAACACTGTTTCCACCGACTAGTTAATGTGCGACACCGAGTACGTGTACGCGGTCATAAAATGTTATCCTTGCACGGACATGTCCGGCGTACATCCGCTCAGCGGACTGAAGTGCGCCCGTGTATGTTGGGGCCTTTAGGGTTACAATAACTAACTAATAACTTGTTATCAGTGACCACCATTGTTTTTTGTTTTTTTTTTTTTGCATATCTGCATCTGATTTTACAAAGCAAAACACTATCCATCACAAGTAGTGATCACACAACTAATTATAAAACAGGAAACGTATAACTTTCCTTATAGTCACTTTCTTAGTACTTCTTACTGGTTTCCTCCACAGGCAGCTTACCGTATGTTCACCAGCAGCAGCTGTGTGAAGCACATGATCCTGAAGGTGCGTCGTGATGCCAGAAACTTTGAGCGCTATCAGCATAACAGGGACCTGGTGGTCTTCCTTAACAAGTTTGCAGACACACAGCTGGAGCTGCCAAGAGGCTGGGAAATCAAGACTGACCCACAAGGAAAGGTAGACTACCCCCTCTCAGATTTCTTCCATTTTTGCCTTACTGTCACACTTTAATGTTTGAGATCATCAAGTACATTTCAACATCCAACAAACATAGCCCAAATGTAAAGCGTTGTTTTGTATTGATTTCATTTATTAAGGGAAAAAGCTTTCCTTACACTATGGGAAACAGTAATTGCCTCCTTTGTTAAATTATTAATGGACTACAAAAAGTATGTTCAATGGGCAGTACAGTGGTGCAGTTGGTAGGACTGTTGCCTTGCAGCAAGAAGGTTTGAATCCCAGCCTGAGTCTTTCTGCATAGCTTTTGTATGTTCTCCCTGAGGGTGTGTGGGTTCTGTTTGTGTACACAGGCTTCCTCCCACAGAGTGTGTGTATGCGTGCATGTGTGTGTATCTTTATGTTGTGCGCCTTCATTATTAAAGCAGCTTATAAGAGCAGTGGCCGGAAGGTGGAAGCGGCAGAAGCTGCTGACCTTGACTCGGGGTGTCATGGGTTGGTGGGCAGAATACTTCAAAGACCTCCTCAATCCCAACAGCATATCAATGACTCTGCATCCACTGAGGAAGCTGAGGACTTTGGGTCGGGCCTCCTGGATGCCTCTGTGGTCAGATGTTCCAGGCACGTCCCACTGGGAGGAGGCCAGAGGAAGACACGGGAGGAGGAGCTGGCCCAAGTGGCTGAGGAGAGAGTCTCCGACTTCCTACTGAGGCTGCTACCTCTGCGACCTGAACATGGATAAGCAGAAGAAAATGGACGGGGGGATCATCTTCATGTTTTTATAGTGTAGAAATGTTGATTATTTTTATGAACTATAATCTGAATAAATTATGCATCCATTAATTTAGATCGTCTTTGTGAACTAAACCAGCTGCTAAAAAATAGAATTGTGACTTCAGTGTTAAAATGTGTATTGAATATTATATACATCTGCAGCTTTTCGGTGGCCTGAAATATATATCTAGTCAATAACATAAAGCAATGCAAGCAACTTTGTTTTAAAGTGTCATATCCCAATCAAAACTAGTCTGGTCCAGCTTTGCTTCGTTTGTAACCTTGCGCATCATCTACGAACAGTTTCACTTGAAAGATTTCTGCCTTTTATTTCTCTAGTCTTTCTTTGTGGATCACAACAGCCGAGCCACAACCTTCATTGACCCTCGGATCCCACTGCAGAATGGTCAACTGCCAGGCCACCTTGCCCACAGACAGCACCTGCAGAGACTCCGTAGTTACAGCGCTGGAGAGGTACACAGTCAACACATATCTATCTGTCTGTGAATCTCAGTATCTTCCCCAGGAGAAACAGTGTTATTCAAAGTAGAACTGTAGCTCCTCCTCTGTCTGCATAAACCAATGAAAAGTGCAAGATTTGAGTTTACTTCACTAAATTAGGTTTAGATAAGTAGCCAATCTGTAATGGTCACCTGGAGACAGACTCCACATGCCTTGCTGCTTTCATGTCCTTCAGATGGTTCAGCAAAAAGATGTCCTGACCCAGTCATGTGGTGACAGGCCAGCAGTCATCTAACCCCAAAATGGGGTTAGATGACTGCAAGATGGTGTCATCAGGGACCCCATGATCATTTCTTGAGGACTTTGATAATACTAGAGCACTTGAAGGAGGAAGGAACCTCTCACAGCTGGGTGTATATATTGGAGGAGCAGTTTACCTACAGCTAAGATGAAGGATCAGCTTAGATCAGTGCATTAGGAAGTCCATCTCTGTGCTAGCTGTCAGACTACATAACCAACACTCAATCTCAGTAAGTCTTTATGACTCTGCTATTCTTTGCACATCCTTGTTTGCACACTTTTCTCACTTCTTGTAAATACCCTGTTTTGTTTTTTTGTAGTTTGTAGGCTATGTTGTGAATTTACATAAAGTTGAATAGGATGTAGCTAGAACTAAGATGTGTTCAATTTCTAAAACTATTTTTGGTCCAACAAGTATAAGAAAAATTAGACTTTGAGACTGTTGAAGTGACTCTCCAGCTGCCACTGATCAGTGACCACCGATCAGTGAACAGTGTCTCCTGTCTTGGTTTGTACTCAGGCCTCTGAAGTGTCCAGGAGTCGAGGGGCGTCTCTGATGGGACGGCCCAGTAACAGCCTGGTAGCAGCCATACGCAGTCACCATCAAACTGACCCAAAGCAGCTGACTGCTCTCTGTAAGTGCTGATATAGCATCTTGTCCTTGCCATGGAATCACAGAATACGATACAGTGAAGCAAAAAAGTATTTAGCCAGTTTTAGCCAGCCACTGATTGTGCAAGCCGACAACAAGGTCAAACAGCTGCCATTGACACAGGTAATGAGTGGAGAAAATAAGAGGTCTTTGAGAGACAGAAGTCTTGCTTATTTGTGGATGACCAAATGCTTATTTTCCACAATAATTTACAAATAAATTCTTTAAAAATCCTACAGTGTGATTTCCTGAATTTTCATAGTTGAAGTATACCTATGATGAAAATTACAGACCTCTTTCATATTTCTAAATAGGAGAACTTACACAACCAGTGGCTGACTAAATCCGTTTCCCCCACTTTACATACAGTTCTGTATCATATTCTGTAGAAATTATTCTGGATTAGATTTTTTCCACCCTTAAATGTTTCAGATGATCATATTTCAGAAGATAACTTCATGGTTTTGAAATTATGATTTTATGTATTTAAAGACATAGTTCTTTGCTAAAATAGAATCATTCCAACTTGTTAGTTTACGCCAGTGGTTCCCAAACTTTTCCTTCTGC